TATATAAGAGAATCATATAGTTAAATAAAAGGAGTTGATTAAATAGGCAGAGGTCCTCTAACTCTCCGAATGTCCGGAGGTCCTCTATATAAGAGAATCATATAGTTAAATAAAAGGAGTTGATTAAATAGGCAGAGGTCCTCTAACTCTCCGATATATAAGAGAATCATATAGTTAAATAAAAGGAGTTGATTAAATAGGCAGAGGTCCTCTAACTCTCCGAATGTCCGGAGGTCCTCTAACTCTCCTAATGTCCGGTTCTTGAGCAAATTGTTCTTCCATGTACAAGTAACAAATCGTAAAAGTGCGGGGTGTGATTCCCCAGTTATTCCTCAGATGATCAAGTCAGTGAGTTGTTTGTGTAGAGATGTAAAAGGAACTACAGTAGTTCTTAAGTTCAGAGAGTAATGAGAAAAAACTTACCCTATAATTGAAAATAGTATCTCCTTTTATAGTAGGGGGAGGAGGGTAGGAGGGTAATTTCGCCTAAGCAAGGGCTGGTGGCCACGTCAGTCTCAACTTTACAGGTATCGGCCGACGAGTGGAGAAGAGGTCACTTTGGTGTTTAATTAAAAGTGATGGACAATAATCTCCAATCAATGGAAGATAAGTGTCCTACATTATACATAATTCGGCATCTCAAGATAATCAGAGACCTAATTCGGTCGACTCGATACGCCAACATCTTACAAAAACGACTCGAAATACATCACATGTCGACCACCCGAAAGGCGTTACGTGTCGTCCCCTAGCTGAGTCGACTGTTTAACCACTCCATTCGGCCGACTCATCGGCCGACACCTTGCAAGAGCAACTCAAAAGGCAATACTTCTCGACAATCTGACGAGTAGAAAGGAGACAAAACACCTCGAGCCCCCTCTTGTGCACACTGATGACCAAACACCTCACAATAAATGTCATTAAATACATTATGGGAGCCACCATTCCTCTGCCCCTAATAATTTTTATGACACATCGGACCACGTCGGCACCGCACACCTCCATCACTTTACATTAAACATCAAAGTGACCTCTTCTGCACTCGTCGGCCGACATCTATAAAGTTAAGATTGACGTAGCTGCCAGCCCATGCTCGGCTAAAATTACCCTCCTACCTCCTGTCCTTACTATAAAAGGAGATACTATTTT